TTGAAGGCGCTACTGGTCTGTCCTCTGATGACTCACATGATGTGAAGATTGCCAGATCCCAGCCTCTCCCTTGGGTGAGAGCTGCCAGCCACGAGAGAGGGGACCTGAGAAGCAGAGACTTGGTGGAACAGGGGGAGAAAATTTGGGTCCTCAGCAATGTAGTAGGCAGCTCTCAGCTCTTGTATGATTTAAAGAGAAGGCCACAGGCTGCCTCTGGCCTAATCCAGATTTTCACAATGTGGAGTTGGGAATAAAAGCTTGGATGTAATTCTCCTCCCTGCTCTTTTCCCAATCCAGGTGCAGTGAGACAGGTTCAGAGTATTTCTGCCCCACTGCTGATTTAATGGGGAGGTGAAGCTGTGACTAATGGTCTTCTGGGTCTCAGACTGAGGCCTCGCGTTGAGCTGTGGTGTACGGAGTGGTACAGAGTTGAGCTCTGGGGCTGCTTTGCCACGCGATGCTGCCATTTATTATGTAGGCTAAGAGCGTGGGCATGCCAGCCGGGTGAAATTAAGCTCTAGGCCCAAGGCTTTATTTTACGGCGGCTGTTATTAGTCGGGATTGCAGCATGCTGACATGGTTATACTGCTTTTGGAAATGAGCTAGCTTGCCTGGAGTGCGGGTGGGAAAGTCCGTATGGCACTCTGTTGCACCCTTCAGTCCACAGACCTGAGGGGTCAGGAGTCTTTGGTTGTTTATTCCCTTTATAAATATAAATTCAAGCAGGGGGCTAGATGCTTTTGTATTTGCAGTGTTTTCATTCGCAGGTCAGCTTTATTAATAATGGTGGTGCTTAGGGTAAATGCAAGCAGAATGTATGCTATGGTCCCTGCTCTAAAAACAGGAATGTATAAATTATAGTTGATTATTCCCCTGGGTTGTTATTATGAGTTAGTTCCCTTAGAAGGATGATGACAGAAATGGGTCATTAGAAGAACTGCAGATAAACTGATTGCCTTTGCAGATAAGCTCTCAAGAGGTGTGTTATGGTTGGGGCAGTGTTGATGGAGACAGAGCAGTCTGCATAAGAAGAGGTTTGGCCAAACCTCTGGAATAAGATTATGCAGCACCAGCCCAAAATACGTCTGGCTTCTTGCAGCATTCTTTGATTTAGTGTTTTTTCACTCTGGTATTAAATGCAGAGGTGTTGATACTTTATGTATACGTGAACATTGCTCAGTCCACTCATACCAGAGATGAAATATGAGTTTAGAGTAAAGATGATCTGTAGCAAGAACTTCTGTTCCAAAGCTTATATGGAAAGGAGAATCTGGTGGATGCGGTGCTAAAATTGGTCTCAGCAAAATTAGACTTTGTTCTTGCTTTTTCACAGACTTTTGTGTAACTGTGGGCAAGCTGCAGTTTCAGACACCCGCAGATATTAAGAGGTCTTGCTCTTCATGTCAGTGAGATAGGTGCCTAAATAGAAGGTGAACAATTATAAAGAATATAAGCCTTAATCTCTCCTCCTTTTGTGCTTGACAGAGGTGGCATGAAAGTAAATACACCGAAGAGTGCAGAGTGCTGAGATACCACAGTAATGAGGCCATTACTGAATCTGAGCATGTAATTAGATGGAAAATGTTTGCCTTCATAATGAATAGATGCTCTCACACATACATTCTTCAGTAAATTTTCAAGTTCATCCTTGCTGTAGTTCCACTAATTTCACTGTGTATTCAGAAATGGATTTTCTTTGTCAAAGCCAACCAGAGCTTTCCATCTCAGAGGACCCAACTGGACCGCAAGGAGAACTAGAAAGTGTTTCCTGATAAGACACCTAAAAAGATGCTGCAAGGAGCACAATGCAGTAAGGGCAAACCACAATCTTAAAATGTAGTTAGTGAAACAGAATAACAGCTCAGCCTCATACGTACCAGTTCTGCAAAGCAAATTTCAGATGCTAAATATATTATCCACACCTACTCTTTTATTTCTGTTCAGGCAAGCTTGATTCTTTTGGCTGGTAAAATACACTCAGTAGAATAAATTTGAGAAGAATTAGCAGCCTGCTTTAGTTGTCACTTGCACTGGGTTTGTGCCTGTGTTTACATGGGTATGAGTAGGGCTCCTGGTATTAGCTCTGCCCTGATCATAGTCTCCTTCCAGCCTGCAGAATCCCCACCAGCCTTGGAACTCTATAGACAAGGCCTTGGTGCAGAATTAAATAGCAGATCTGATGTGTATTAAAGAAAAAGCCTAATTTTCTGACTTTGATTTCTGTTGGGTTTAAGTCATTGGTTGTGCAATGCTTGGTTTTCTTTGAAGACAGATACATTACTCCCCACTTGCAAAAGTTGAGTCCTCAGCCAGGGATGTGACATCCTAGAGTAGATGACCGCAAGAGACTCATCCATTCATTGCCTGGAAAATTAACTGGGACATCCTGAAACAGCATCCTATGAAGTGTTTAACTGTGGCACTTGCTTTAGTGTTAAAACCCAAATCGTCTGTAATGGTAGCATTGTCTACTAGATTGCTGCTGAATTATGCCATGTGCTTCTTTGGTGGCACTGACTATAAATTGGTTGACACCTTTGGGGACTACTCAAATGAATGTACCTGCTGTTAGGTGTGATGAATCCCACTTGAGCTGCCAATACTGGTGGCAGTCAGAAGGAAGGATAATAGGAAGGTTTACTGAGAGGAAAATCTAGACTTCCCCCCCATCTTCTCCAAAAAAGAGATACAGGCATGTGTGGATGACCTTTCTCTCAAGTAGCATGGGAATCTAAACTAAAATTACTTAATCTGCTGTTAGTTATGTTGTACCATGCCATGCTCAGGTGGGATAGCAGTGAGGGTGTTTGTAACAACCCCTGACTGCGTACTGCTGCTCTGCTCTGCCCATACCCTGCCCCAGCACAGTCGGGAAAACCCTCCCAGGAGCTGCCAAGGGGTCCAGGAGCAGAAACTTTCCAGTGCTGCTCCATGTCCCAATCAAATACCTTCACCCTCAGCATAGCAGTTCTCAGAGGGTAGTGGGGAAAACGATATGACACCAAGGACATATTTAGAGAAAAATGGATGTATTGGGCCAGGAGCAAATAGAGAAGGTTCATCTCCATGAATTCCTAGGTCTCCGCAATCAACAACATGTGTCAGGAGAAATGAGTCCCTTCAGCATTTTGCCTGTAAATGGGATAGTCTTGGAAGGTGTACAGAAATGATGTAGAAGATGTAAGCGTTCAATTTGAAAGAAATGAAACTTTTAAAATTCAAACAGGGAATTGTACTAATTAGCTGTTTGTTTGTATATAAAAACCAGCCTGGCAGAGATTTTGAAAAAAAAAAAAAAAAAAAAAAAAGTTGAATACATTAAAAAAAGCCATAAAACCCCTATTGCCTGCTTATCTTTATTTCCAGGGAGTTTCCTGCAGCCTCAGAGCAGCAGCCTTTCACATGAGGAATGCTTCGGTGCACATTCTGCTTTGTCAGTGCAAAGCAAAGTGACATCTCTACGAGTACTGCAAGAGATTGTGTCTGGTGGTTACCTTGCATGGTTTCACCTTGAATCGAGCTAGAGGAGAGAGTTCTGTCTTGTGCTTTGTGTTTCTGATGGGTCTGAAGTTGTTACAGTCCATCAGCATCACTAACATTGAATATTACTGTGGGAATTAGTCCACCTTTTGATAAAGCAGCTTTTTTCCTTCCCAGATACAATCAGGAAACTATTTCATGTCAGAGCTCTGCTTTTCTGTCTAACAAGTAGGTCTGTGTTGGCAAGATCTACTTCATCTCCAGTGTTACGCTGGGAGCCAAGCTGGCACCCCCAGCTAATGATTGGACTGAACTTTCCCCACGGTAACTTGATAGCTGTACAGCTGTGCAGGCTCACAATTTGCTCCTCGATTGTCAGTCTCCTGACAGCTTTTTCAGTGGAACAGTTTGAGAGGAGTGGAAAGCCCTGCTTTGGAGACACAGAAGTGTTTTCACACCTGAAGTGTAATTTCACACCTTGTGTTGCTCAGTAGATAAGTGCATAAAATAGCACATCAAACGGGAACAGAAGAGGGTAGACATGCTGTAGACAAGAGATGGAGGCTTGTTATTTATTTCCTATCTTCAGCGCACTCTGAAATAATACTCAACTTGCAGAAATCTAGGCACAGATTTTGAAGGGGTTAGGAGGGGACTTTTCTAACCGAGTGATCTGTTACTGTCACATGCAGAGCGAGGTGAAAACTTTGAGTTGGGTCTGTGGAGCTTTGGGACCACAGAGCTCTGCCTAGAGACCACAGTATTAATGACCCCATAACAGAGGTGAACAAATTAATACAGGAGACGGCAAGAGTTTTAAGGGTGAATTTGTGGGAACACTGACTTGGACCATCCCTTCCCTGTATCTACTAAGCATTTTTACTTCTTGTATTGTCTTAAATAGTGAATAAAATTGACCTTGAGTCCACCAAAAAAGAAAGATGAGAATTTTGAAAAAGCCTTGAAACTGTCATGTGAGATCAAATCATTTCACTGTCTATGTAGGTTTCCTTTCCTTCTGCTTCAGTACCCTTTTTGTTTGCTATCTCAAATAATAGGTCATAGAGGCATTCTTCCAATGGAGAGTGATGGAGAGGCAAGTGCAGCCAAGGGAAGCCTTGGTGCAACAGCCCCAATGAAGCTTTATTGTGAGGGAGAAGAAGGGAAGGTGGAGATGTGGAGAATCCATAGAGATGCTCATAGTTGCAGTTAGTATTAGATATGTTTGCTAGGCTTGAGAAACAAATTTCCTGCTCTTTCCAAGAGAGTAGGGCTGAAGCATGCATCAGTTTCCTTCCTTTTTCTCCCTAGCTGAATATGAGGAAATCCAAGAGGTGCTTTCACCTGCTGCTTCTCCTACTACGGATTTTACTAAGGAGACAGTCCAGCCCTCATCTGTTACTCGCTGCAGACAAAGCTGCTCTACTTGGAGGGGGGTTTTGGGTGTTTTTTGACCACTTAGGGCTTTTGTTTAGTCTTGTCACTGTGCCAAACGTATTATTTCCTCTTTTTTGTCCTAGACACCTACGGAAAGCTCTGCCTGCTGAACTCGGTGGGTCAGGAGATGTCTCGCTGCAAGACCTCCATCCGCCGAGGACAACCCAACCCTGTCTACAAGGAAACTTTCATCTTCCAGGTTGCCCTCTTCCAGCTCTCTGATGTCACACTAATGATCTCCATATACAACAAACGCAGCTTGAAGCGCAAAGAGATGATCGGCTGGATTTCTATGGGTCAGAACAGCAGCGGAGAGGAAGAGCAGAGTCATTGGCAGGAAATGAAGGAGTCGAAAGGGACACAGGTCTGCAGGTGGCACACGCTACTGGAGTCCTAGGGTTACCGTGGCAGCCTGCAGGTCCTGGAACTATGGGCTGTCTTCCCTTGTCCTCAGTCAGCAGAAAGCAGCTATCCGATGGCAAGCGCCATGCTCTGAGAGGTCACGTACACTTTAACCTGACTTTTCAGTGTCAGCAGTCACGGGTATTAAAGGTGGCAAGGCCTGTGAAGCAAGTTTAGTTCTTGTCTTTCCAGGTTGTCCTGCATCTTTTACATCCAAATAATAAATCCTAGGAAGAAACGGTGGGAATACCTACAATACCCTTTCCTTGGTCATTGTCTTGCTCATTTTGTCATAGGCTTCATCATGACAGACTGATTTTGATACTGTTTTCTTCTGGGATAAGCTCTCTCTTCCCTTCCTCCCCTTATTTATATTAATGAAGTTTGCAAATATTCTTCACACGCAGATAGCTCACAGAAAGGCTAACCTGCATGCAGATCACGTTCTTTCCCTTTTATTATTGTGTTTCTAAGTCCTAGAAATAAGCATTTGATACCACTGCAGACTGGATGATATATTTTTCAGCAGCATGGGAAAGCACTCTTGAATTCTGTCAACTTTTAAGTGCCTAGACATTACTACTGTTTTCCTGTACAAAAAAATTGATATTAGGACTAAACACTACCAGTATTTTCAATTAGGCATCCTGTGCATCCTTGTTAGCCTGCATTGCCATAGGTTTGCACGAGAGGTAACTAGCATCACTTTTATATTGCAATTATAGAATGCATGTTTAGATGCTTACTTGAAGTTCATGGCTTCTGTCATCATGAATACCAAAAAAGACCAGAACAAGCTGCACATCCACCTTTGTGCCTGAATCACTCTACTGCATCACTGTTTTGCCCATGTGTTACTTTGTTTTTTAAAAGTAAGGTTCATTCAGGAAAGCATTTCTGTGAGCATTACACAGGAAGGCTTTAGATCCATGATTTCTCTGTGATTCAGTTAAGCACAATTCAGTTTGCTGAGGGCTACTCTTCAAATGTGCTATTCTGTAATATCTTCTTGGGATATGAAAGGGGACTGGTTTTGGCGCACTGAGCAGTAGAGGATGCCAGATCATGTCACCTCATCTTTGGGGTGAACTCTCCTGCAGGCAAGGAATAGCATCTGGGGGACCTTCTAGAGGGGCTGCTGGCTCTGCTGAACTAACACCAGCGAAAAGTATTATGCTTCCTGCCTCTAACTGAAAACACTGCAAGGAGCAGGCTTGCTGGATGAGGCGATGACACTTTTATGTAGTTACTTTTCAGACTATATTTTCATTTTCCATTTTAATCTTTTTTCCGGTCTCTGCGAGTTGAAGTTGTGGAGACAATGGCTAGGGGACGTGTCTTAGTCTGCTACTTGACTACTGAAAGTTTAGTGGTTGTTAGCTGTTGCGATGCTGTGTGCAGAGGTTGTTCATCCCCTAGTGTAGTGATGGTATGTAGGCAGTAAGGTGCTGAGATCTTCAAATCCTATCAGCTGCCCAGTCTCCTGTTCTCTGTGCTCTCTAGGAGAGGACTGGCATTTCTCCAGTCCTGCTGATAGCAAGACACAGGAAATATTTTGCTGAAAAGGTTTGTCTCATTTACTGAGACCTGACACCAAATTCTGCCTCATACTGCACCACGGCTGTCTCCTTCCCTTCAACGGTGCTGTGCAAATCTAACCAGTGCAAATTTTTGGCACTGGCTATTTGACCAAAATTGAGCCTCGGTGCTGGTTTGCATCACATCCAGGCTAGCCAGACCCTGCAGACACCCTGCATGTGGTGTGATACACACAGGTTATCACTTGGTGTCCTATGCACAGGCTTTGTCTGTCCTCATGAGGCAGACAGAATAGTCTGCATGTAGAAGAATTTCTGGTATAGGTGAGACAGATTATTCTACAGACCATGGTTTTATATATTCTTATCACTTACCTGTCTGAGCATCGTTTTTCTGGTAAGACTCGTGGGTATGCTATGCAGGAGGGTTGTCCTCCACTGCCTAGACAAGCTGGCATAATATCTGCTTTGCACTGCTGGGTCTTTGTATCACAAAGCAGGATCTAACCCAAATACAGCTCAGTAAGCAAATACATTTTTGACTGCACTGTCAATGCTGTTGTATTACCAATGTGAGAGAAAATGAGCGGTAACCAGCAGAATAGAAATGTTTTTTTTTATCATGTACTTTTCTTCTGGAAAAAGAAAAAAGTAGAGGAAACAGCCCAATTGAAAAAGTGCATTTGCTGATTTCAGTTGTTTTCCAATATGCATCTTTTTTTTCTGAACTGCATACAATGTGTATACAAGTGTTTATAAGTAATCTTATTATCTGGGATGTGTATGTATAATAAACTTACTGAGAGTCTCTTCATGACTTCTTGACCTTTTTAAGTGTTGTTTATGCTTAATGATTAGCTAAGGGAAAAGTTTAAGTTGATAATACGTTTTAGCAGTGAACTGGAGATAACTCAGATTTATAAGTAACAGTGTGATTGAAAAAAAATTCTTGGAAAAGATAATTTTAAAAAGCAGTGAAGTAAACTGATTTTGGACTTCCATGCCGTTTTCACGTCAAGATCTTTTCTGACGATCCAGCGTTAAGGGAGTTGAGTATTGGGAGTGTTGGAAGTCCAAGGAAAGCAAGTGAAAATAGGTTACTTAGTGTAAATTAATATCTGAGCACATGTTAAAACTTTGCTCTCAGATGGAAGCAGGTTGCTGCATTTGGCCTGATGTTTCACCAGAAAAAAAATGACGGGAAGGGAAAAGGGGTGAGGCAAGGGGAGCACTCTTTTAATGGAGCTGTGGCTAAACCTGTTGTCACGTCCATATTGAGCAGTACATTTGTGAGGTTCAGTAAATTCAGAAGCAATGAAGGAATTTAGGAATCTTGGGATGAACACAGTGCTGGGAGTGCTCATGCTTGCTCACTCTTTTGGGGAATTTTTGTTGCTTTTGCAGTTTATTTTTCTTTTCGGTATTGAGGGTCTGTGAACTGAAGGCTTTGTAGCAGCTCCCCTGTATTCCAGAGCTCCCGTAATTCTTCCCATTGACAGATTGAATTAGTCATTGCTAATATTGATACAGGCTGGGCTTGTGCTCATGGTCTTTCTTATGCAAATACCACTGCCCTTTCAGTCGCTGCTTTAACCCCTTGTTTCCTTTAGAAATGGCTGACAAGACTGAATTTCCAGAAAGATTTCCATTCCTTGGGAGCCTTGACTTGTAGTTGGCTTTGAGTTGGCAGTGGTTGGTAGACCTGGGACCCTGCACTCCACTGACCTCCACCCACATGGATGCTGATGCTGATGACTGATCTCTCCTTCTGTGGGGTTCCAAGAGGGGGGAAGAGCTGTGGGATGTTCAGTGAGCAGGAAAGCAATGGCTGACCTGGTTCTGGGAATGCTTGGGCTCTTGCAAGTCCAGATTATGGACGTTTCAGAATATACTCATGTTTTCTAAGATAATTCATCCCCTTTTGACACCACTCTCTGGAATCCCCTTGTAGCTTACTTGAATTTTGAAAAAAGCCTGAAAATCCACAAAACCATTGTGTGAGAAGGAACTGACTGCACTGGCATAAGCCCAGAATGTTGTGGGCAAGTGCTCTGGATGCATCTCTATCTTGAACAGTGTCATTCAGCTAATTGCAGTCTGTTCCTTCCTTGGTGTCTCTCCAGCCAGCACGCCCCTGTCCTGCTAGGTTCTGTGCTGTTGTTTTATTTTTTGTTTTTAATGTGTATTGACAACAGAGCAGAATGATCTCACCACGTTTATATTCCCTGTAATAATGCTGACTTTCAACTGATGCCCACAGAAATGAGTACCTCTTTTAGCCCACTGAGCTACAGCTATAGCTTACTGAAGTGCCCATTTGTAAAGGCTTTAGTCTGCTACGTCGTTTGATTTGTTTGGGTTTCCTTTTTACCTGTGTCTTTAATTACCTGGACCCTGCTGTGGGCTGCTCGCTCCTGTCGCTCTGGCTTGTCTGTGTTTCCCTTGCAGGGTAATAGGAGTTGTGCAGCTCCTGGGGCACACAGACAATACCTGAATGTATTTTTAGCGGCTGAAGATCCTGAGAAGTTATTTGGTGCTTTACATAGTCGACTGATCTTCAGTCATGAATGTCTTTAGATGTTCTTGGACACACAGAACCAAAGGCTGCCAGCTGCTATTGATCATTTCTTCAGCATAAAGCCTAAGGTGGCAGCTTGGCAGAGGAGCAGGCATTTCCTCTGGTGGCAGTTCATTTTCTCCTTCAGTTGAAGCTGGCGGTGACCTTGGAGCTAGTGTGCCTGTAGAGCTTTCTTTCCACTCCCATATTTATCATCATCTTTAATCTGTATGATCGCTGCACTTCATCTCTCTGCCTCTCAGCTGCCTTCTGCCCTTCAGCACAAAAGGTGGACAGAATGGCTGAGCAAAGAATATGGCCTTCCCTATCGCATTATCCCCAGGCTGAAGGGGAGCTGACTCCTGCAGAGGTCATCTTAAAGTTATGATGCTCATTACCAAGACCTTGCCTCCCTGATCTCTAGTCTACTTGTGGAGTTTGAAGCTTGTTGGTTGGGCTGTGTTACTTTAGTAATTACATAGTGACATCCTTCACCTCAATGTGGACTGAGTTAATGACAGAGGAAACAACCTGTTCTGTTTTTGCTTTCTTATTTTTTTTTCTTTTTTTTTTTTTTCATAAGCATCGTGTTCTGTAAAAGGACAACAGAGCCTGAAGGAATTAGTATGCAGGAGCATCGGCTTTCTGTTTAAAATGTACTAAGTGTGATGTTTGCAACTATGGTTTAATGGAAAAAAACCCAACAGCCAGGTTTTGTAGAAGAGCTCACATTTGAATGAGGCAGGTTTTTCTCTTCAGCATGCGCTACCCCAGCAAATACGTTCTCATACCCCAGGCAGTGATGCTGGCTCCCGACTGATCTGCTTCTGTGATAAAAGCAGCCAGAAGCTGACAGATCCTAAAGCTTGGAAAGACATACAGGATAATTCAACATAGCTGGTTTGGGTGTTTATTTGGAATCTGGTGCAGCTTTAACAAGCTGTCACGAAAGAAATGAAAACCCCAACCAGTGGCCGGGAAGATGGTGGGGAGGGAAGGCTCTCAGTGTGCTTGTGCTGCTGTAGGGCTGGGAGTTTACTCACTCTGTACTCCAGAAAGCAGCACAGCTGGGCTGCAGTGGCATCAAGCCTAAGCTGAAACCCAGTGTCTCTGCATGATTCCTTAGCTTCAGATCTGCTGAAGGCATACAGATTTTTTTTCTTTTCCTTTTTTTTTTTTTTTTTCAGTGCAGAGTGAGCTCGTGTCTTCCTGCAGCCTACGCTGTAGGCCTTAAGAAATGAATGTGTAAATATTTTGTCTCTCACAGCAGCCCAAGGTCATCTTTCTGGAACAGCAAACAGGCACAGAATCCAAAGAAGATCAGTCTGTCATGTGAGTAAGGTTAGCATCTGCACTTACAAATGACAAAGGCTATTAATCCTCATGCTGTAATCCCCAAGCTGTTTGCCAGCTGGCAGCAGGAAGATGTTCCCGCTCAACCCACACAGCTATCCATGTTTTTTCACCTTTATGAAGCAGATATAGGTCAATACTGTAGCTTGGATAAAGAACTTGGTAGATACCATTCATCTCTCCTAGCGTTACGATCCCTCTCTCCTCCACACAAGCCATCTGTACAAATGAGGGTGTAAGAGGAGAGCTGCAGGCTGGGCTCTCCCTGTGCTGCTCCCCCAAAATAGAAGGCTGAAGGTGAGATTTTTTTTTTTCCCCCTCCTGCTCCTGAATTTGTCATGGCAGGATGAATTTTGAGATCTTGCTGCAGAGCTGAACAGCCTGGGCAAAGCTCTGTCACTAGTCAGGTCTTTATACACATTGCTGGGAAAACCCAGTGCTTGTAGAAAGCAGATAAAAGTCCCGTGTTGAGAATTTTTTGATCCTAATTTGGGATCTTGCATGGGTTTTGGGTATTGCCCATCACAGGGACATAAAATCCTGAATCAGGTGAGGTACCACTCAGAAACAGAAGAAAACCGGCCACTTGGCAGCAATGCAGGCAGGCTGTGATAGTCTGTATGATCATGCACAACAAAAAACTCTACGATCACCATGTTGCATCCAGTGAGCATTGGCCAGCAGAGGTTGGAAAAAGTTCAAGAGACCCAAAAGCCAGATGGGAGCTATGAAACTCCTTTCAGGCTTGTTAGTTGTTCATCTCTTTAGAAAATTGGAAAGCCAATTGTTGGGTTTTTCTTGACAAAAGTGGTTTAACAGAATTCACAGATCCTTGGGCAGCTGCAGGTGCGAGGAAGTGAGGACATCACCTCTTGGCTCTTGTGTTTCCTCACAGCTTTAAATGGGTGACCATTGAATAGATACCAGATACTCTGGAGGTGTCTATCCCCTGTAATGTCACAGCCAGTTTGGGCTGATCTCATTGAGTAACAAGAGACAAAAAGCTGATCTTGGCCAAGGGCGAAGAACGAGAAGGATTCAGGATTCAGACAAAAGCTATATTCTTTCCTGACTCCCACAACCATTAATTAGCCTTGACCTCCGGGGAAGGCATTTTATTGTGCCAAGTACTTCCCTCTCCCTTAATTTCTCAGATTTAGGAGAAGATTGCAAATTTCTGTCTTCATTGGCAGCTGGGAAAAATCATACAATTTTGCCAGCTTTCCTTATCCTTGTTGTGTCTTGTTAACAGTTTCCAGGTGCTTTTTATTCACACTGTCTCCACCATCGCACCTCCTACCCTCTCATTAATGTCTACAGAGGTCTGCTCTAAGTCAGGTCCATGCCTGGTGGCAATATTTTAGGTTCATGGTGCTCAGGATAAAACCTATCCTCCAATCTCTTGCTGTCACTACATGGCACCTCAAGCACAAATTTTTCATTGAAACTGGTACCACACCTCTCCCGTAGTCCTCTGCTGACATTGCTGTGTTTTTTGTTTTGCTGGGTTGTATTCTCAGCTGTAACTTCATTGACTTTTTCCCAGCAGAGGGTTTTGTTTGTCAAGAAGAGTAAATGAAGTAATCATTTGGTAGACTTAGCATTTAAATTCTGCATGGCATTTATATGTGTGTATATAAAAATGTTTTTTGTGGTAGAGTGCCCCAAGGCATGAAGCACATCTCAAAGTATATTTGACTGTTGATTTAAATATAGTGTATATAATAAGTTATTTTTAGTGTGCATTGGCGTCTTTCTATATTGGAAATATATTCTATATGGGGTGTGTTGCCGCAGGACCGAGTTGTGAGCCCACTTACTGCATCTGCCTCCTGGCATTTAGTAGAATAATCTGCCCTTAAGGCTTTTCCTTTCGTTGCTGTCATATCCTCAGCACAGACCATGGGCAGGTAGCAAGCCAGTTGGTATTCTGAGTAATTCAGCCCTGTGGCTGAGGGTGCATCAGGAGTAATAAAAATCTCAGTTCTGCTTTCCCAGCCTGAGATGTACAAGCACAAAATTTAGCTATAAATCGATCACTTTAATAACAATGCAGACAAATTAATAAAAGGGCCAGGACCCTAACTTCTGTTGGTGCAAAAGCAAGGCTTCTAGAGCTTGAATTTATTGCTGAATTATTCTTATGGTAAAAAGAGAATTATTCATACTGTGAAGGTTATAAGAAACAAATTCATATACCCTTTTCACTTCTGTAAAGTTCAAAGATTTGCACTGAAAATTGTACCTTCAATCTAGTTAATAAATGGCTGATATTGACTGGTGAGGCCACTGGAATGGTATGAGCATCATTTCACTTGCACTGGGTGTGATTGAAAGAGATATCTGAAGTGCAAAACTGTGATAAAAAAGATGAAAAATACGATGAAAAGATGTTTGGATATTCAACAGGAAGAGTGGTACGGTTTTATTCTTAGCTTTTCATGTACTTGACAATGAAACATTTTTATTCTACTTAAGTGCTAACGTGCATGATCATACAATATATTGCCTCTTGCTAATTATATGCTGCGTTAGGAATACTAATGTCTAGATGATATCTGACTGGAAAAAAAGCATTAAACCCAGCTTCTGCAGAATTCTGAGCTGAAATTATACACACACATACAACCATCCACACCTTAGAAACAGTCTTATTTTGTTATGGTGAACGCTGTTGTTGAAGGTTTTTATCAATAAAATAGAAGCAGATGGCTCATGTAGACATGCAAAACTGGCGTATCTTCCTTTTTGTTCATATTGTGGCAGAACCAAGTAAATATGCATCTAGGAGAGGTGGACGTGTTTTGTTCAGAACAAAGATGCAGGTGTCCAGTGCATAATGCATAACTGGGAGGAATGGGAGATATCCCCCCTGCCTTGGTCCCCCTCTCCATCCACACGGACAGAGGGGCCCTGTGGCAGCAGGCAGAGGCTGCTGGGGGGCTCTGGGGGACTGCCGAGGTTCCCATGCGCCGCCGTGACTCTGCCTCCCTCCTGTATATATCCGCCTTCCAGCCAGCTCTACGTGGGGATGGAAAAGTGGTGGCTCTGCGTTCGGTGTCTGCTGTTCCCCCGTCTCTCACCCAGGCCCTGGCAGGAGTTGGGGCAGCAGCCCCTTGCACCCAACTCTGTGGTGGTCCCCCAGCCATCGTTTCTCCTGTACGCCCATGGCTGTGTTGGTACCAGGGCACCAGGGCACGTGTGGGTCAGTGTCACCAATGTATCTCCTGCATGAGGAAACCAGCTTTGTTGGCATCCTGACGCTGTGTACGGGACACGGAGGGATGCCCCTGTAGCTGTTGGGGTGGCCACAGGTTGAGTGTGTCTTGCTTTGGAAGCAGAGGTGAGAGATCAGGTGTTGGGCTGGGGAGTTGACATTAGGCTGATGGGAGGCCAGGAACATCACCGCAGCAGTGAGGGTATGTCTTCATCTGCTGGCCACTGACGCTTGCATGTACCTTTGTCCATGATGTATTTGTGTGTGCGGTATCCTTCTGCCAGGTTGCAGTTGTAATCTATGCCTACATTAAGACAGAGAAAGACAGAAGCTAAAAAAATTTCCCAAAACGGTGATTTTGAACTGGGGGTAGTTTGTTCCTCTCAGAATAGCAGTGCCATTTTTGAGGGAGGCATGAGAAACCACGATTTCTGAATCCCTGCTGGCATCCGCAGGGCTGGCTTTCCAGGACCAGCCCAGAAATAGAGTTTCTTTTTCTGGTGACGGTTGGTAGCTTCAGTCCCTGGAAGCCTCAGCAACAGCGGCTGATACAAGCTGCGCCGGGGTACACGGAAAACCCAGCTTCATCTGAAAGAGTGGGGAAATGGGGCGTGCTGGGAGGCTCAGAGAGACACAGCGTTTGGAAAAACTCACCCGCCTTGGTGCAAATTGGTGATGAAATATGTGTTTTTCTAAGGACTAACGTTGGTGGGGTGACCAGGCTCAGCTGAGACGGGTGGGGGTGGGAAAGTGCTCGTGAAGTTTTACATTTTTGGAGACCTTGGAAGCCAGGCTGGCTTCAGAGGGAGGCTGGGGGTTTGCTCTGGGTTGCAGTCAGCCCCGCGGGAGCTCCTCTGAGCGCAGAGGGGGATCTGCAGGACCAGGCACTGTCTGCAAGTTGCTCTGGGGTTCGGGACCTCGAGGGGGTGCTGCTGCCAGGGCAATGACAGGGTCCGAGTTGGTACCAGACCAGCACTTTCCTGGCCTGATTATTCATAACACTATTTCACCCCATGCATTTTTCTGAAAAGCATTTAAAATTCACCCTGCCCATCAACTGGCTTCAATTCTCCCACCAACTCCACCCTATTTCTCCCATGTAAACCCAACACTGAGGAGTGCTGGCAATTACTCTAAAGGACTTGGGCACCACTGGGACACGGCGCTCACTTCGCTGTTCCCGCAGCCCCAGTGTCCGTGTGGGAATGTCCTCAGCCACTGTGTGGTGACAAAGGAACTGGCGGTGTTGTCACAATTGGGTGAGTTTTCTCAGGCTGATCACCAGCACGGGGCTAACCAGAGTGGGGTTTGTTTTATTGCTCCGGGCAGATTTGCCTGTGTCTCTGTGCAGGCTTGGCACATGCTACGGTGAAGCTGCTGGCACTGAACTTGGGGAGAGCAGGGAATGGGCCGTATGTCTTGGTGCCAAGATTTAGGCAGCTTGGCCTGAATGAGGCCACCCATAAAATCAGTGGTAAAATACTTGGGCTTTCTATGTGCTTGGAGTACAATGCTGCCGTGCAAACACGACGGTGGACTTAGCAATCCACTTGTCATTGCTCTTGCTGGGATGCTTGCTGTACAGCAAAGCACACGTGGGTCTTGCTGGGCTCCCCAGGGGCTCTCGGCTGTTTTTTGTTTTATTGTTCTGATTATCCTGTTCTGCCTCCAGCTGCATTTTAATTCCCTGCTCAGAGCAGCTTCATTCCTTGGCAAAGCACCGAGTATTGTTTTGCCAAGATGTTCCTGATGTCATCCTCATTTTGACCAGTTGGAAAAGTCACATTTTTAATGTCAGGAAACTAAGTTTTGAATTTCAGCGAAAGAGTGATATCATTTTTCATGAGAGGGTGAAAGCATTCCCACTTCTCAGTCAGCTCAGTTGAGGCTAAAGAAGCTGAGCTGTCTGCCATCTGTCTCCTCAAGTCTCTCCCCCACCATCATAATTTTTGAACAGGTTGGCCAATTTCAATCACATTTGAACAAAGTGTAACTGTCTCAAAGACAATTATGCTTCTACAAATTTTGTCACCTGGCAGAGGATCATTTACAGAGAAGCAGAAGTAAGTTTGATGACCAAGGGTCAGTCAGCTGATCCATCATGATGGTGTGCAGCTCCAGACTAGTGACAGCATGTGCTGCCTCTTGTGCTGTCTCTGGTTGAGTTGGAGGTGTCCCAGGGGATGTGGTGGGATTTGGGGGGTGGTGGTGGTGGTGGTGAGGGTGGAGGGGATAAGCAGTACAAATATGTAGGAAAATGGGCTTCATTAGCTCTGCTTTTCCCCAGCTTGTTTCTGAAGTTGTTTCGGAGGTTTTTTAAGTATAAAAAGATCAGAAAAACTTAAATTTTAAAATACCAACAAATTTTCTTGCACAATGAATTGGAAGATAGAGCAGAAAAACAGAGTCCTAGTACAGGAAAAACAGAAAGAACAGATCTTTTACTAGGAAATGCAAAAGCTGCATTTAGATGAAGGCAGGATTAGCCTCCCAGGTCATCCGGTCCCTCCGAGGTTGGTCAACCATTGGGAGGCATGAACAGGGGCCAAAAACTGGAGCTACTTGTCTCTGTTTGCTGTGGCAAGCCAAGGATTGGAAAAGTCTTCAGGGGTTGTTGTCTGTCAGAGGCAACTGAGTGTGCCAAGCCAGGGATAAAAATTGGTCCAGGATGTAACTCCTTGCATCTGAAACTGCTCAGTGTTTCAGGTACAAATGCTAAACATTTCGGGTAAGATTTTATCTTTCAAAAATACCTTCTGCATGCTGTGTTTAGAAAAACAGCACGTGTGTAGGTATATGCTGCCTGGGAGGATTGGTGCTTTTATATACACATCTTCTGAATGTTTGGTGCTTAAATTCAAAAGGGCACATTCATTTAAATCCTTTAACAGTTGGCTTGAGGAGATGTAGCTGCTTTGAAATGAAGGAACTGACTTTTTCTAATTCTGTGAGGCAGTTAAAGTAAAGTAAATGCTAATGTTCTGGGGTTTTATATTCCCAATTGCTCTAAACCATTTAAAAACATATATTTATTATAGCACTGACTATGCTAGGCAATCTTGCTTTCAAAAGACTGGGGGGGGGAAAAAAAAAAAAAAAAGCAAAAAGCTACTCTTCTATTGTCTGCCTGTCCAGGTGTTATCTTGTGCTGTACACATTTAAAGTCTTATCTTTTCAAATAATATCACTGTCAATAGAGACTTTGGTCCCAGTTCATGTTTCTGTTTAATTTCTATTGCATTAAAACGTCGTGTGCTTCAGCTGGGCAGTGATTCCTGACCAGGCATCCCTGGCGGAGGGGAAAGCTCCTCTTCAGATGAGGAGGGAAGGTGATCTCTTGTGCCCCCATGACAAGAGGAAGGGGATGGAGTATCCCATGTTCATCTTGATGGAGGTGGCTTTCAGCTGGCAGAGCAATGTTGGTTTATACTGGCTGGGGATCTGTTTCCCTGCACTCCCTGCCCCCTCAGAAAGGGGACAAAGGAAAACAGCCAGACTTTTGGATAGTGGAAGAATTTGCTCTGGGCAGATCAGAGGATGGAAGTGCTTCTTAGAGCTAGCTGGGGAAAGATTAACTGACCTTTTTGCTGTAAATTATTGCCAGCTAATAAGTCCTGCTTACGAGCTGACAGGAGAGAAGATGTGTCTTTGCAGCAGAAATTGTGTTGAATGTTAAAAAAAAAAAAAATACAATCAATTTCAGGAAGACTGGAGTAAGTAAGCCTGTCGCTCATTCAGCTCTCAGACGCAGAGTAGGTGCTTCTGTGTTTTCCTTTTCTATCTCTGCTTACAGAAGTGATATTACTGAATTAATTATGACATCTTTGTGAAGAGATGAAGAATCGCTCAAGTCCTCTATTCAGCAGCAGAGAAATGTCAGATTCATCTCACAGTAAATTTAAAATTACACGAACCTGAACTATTGCTACTGGCAGCATAATAATAAGGCAGGTAATCAAAATCAATTAAATTCCAGTGCCTTCCTATTGTCCTTGAAAATTCAAATTTGAAATTAGTTTGAGTTCATTTGACTTCTTAATAAAAGAAGCAGAGCTTCAGAGATAATTTGAACTAAGTATATGGCCGTGACCGATCTTTTCTCACACTGCAAAGACCAGAGGAGCTGTGTGCGTGCACGTGCGTGTCAGTGCATGCTGAGCGCTGAGTACAGCCAGCTACTCAAAGTCAGTGGAGTGACTGGTTTGAGGCTGCTGTGCTGACGTATGTTAGCTGGGACTCAGGCCTGCCAAGACTCGATTTGTTAAAATCTGGGTGAGGTATTGATCGAGTGAATGCCAAATGAAGTGTGCCTCCGTTCCCATTGTGTTAGAGGCAAGAGGACTAAGCCTGGCGTGTGCTGCTCTTCAAGACCTGCACAGAGACCCTGGAGCAACCAGAGGGAGGAGAGCTCCGTGTGTCCTACCAGCAATGACATGCCCAGCTGCAACGTGTGTGAGGCACCCATCTTCCAGATCACAAGAGAACAGGGGATTGCCCA